GGAAATATTAGTATCAAACACTATGTTCGCTAAATTATCTGTACATATAGTTACATATCACGTCTTTATCCCTTGCGGGTTAGGCAAATCATCCATATAGATACATAGGTAATCATTTTATAGCCTTTAAATATTATTTATGACGAGGCAAATAACACACGTTTATAGGATTGTACCTTATCAATATTGTCTAATCGAGCTTTCAAAGTTATGACCTGTTAAATTTTACTGTTCCGGAATCAAGCTGTAGCTTCAACCAAGAATTATAGCTAGTTACAAAGCTATATTTTATATTTTAGGCGCATGTAATGCTATACTTTTAGGAAGCCATCGGGTGGGCGGCTGAATAAAATATAAATTAACTTGTCGTAAAAGGTTAATGTGCTTGCTATAGAATACATATCCTACTGTTTTTGGTGGTGTCGTAAATCCTTTAATACTGGAGAATAAAAATACTATCATGCATCGATCAGGTGGTAAGTATGGCAACAATGAACCGCCCATAGTGGGTCGCTATCTAATCGTAATGAATATAAATTTTCAGATGACATTTACGATCGGTGCGCGCCGTGATGCGGTGATACAGCATCTATACAAACGTGTTAGATATGTATGTATAGATATATGTTTAATGCACGCACACAACACTACGGCCGACAATAAAAGTGTGGTTATGTTAAAAAAGTATAACCCGACTTGCACACAACGAGGGAACACATGAATATGTAGCTGGTATGCATTTTTTGCAATACCTACTCAATTTACAAATACAAAAATGTGTTACATCTACAAAAGAATGCTATAAATATGTATGGGAAACTTCAAAGGGCCGGTTAAAATGTAATGAATATTCTTATTGTAGGTAAAACATAAGTAGACACGACCTTTCCTGTAGTAAGTGCTAAAATTTATACACCTTTAATATTCTGCTCCATCTATTCATACGATGCTTATAAAAAAAATTACAGACACATTAAAAAAAATCTTTTCCTGCTAATTTTGTACCCTATCTGGTAAACCGCTATCATAAAAATAATGCGATATTGGTCAGAGTACTATGAAGTCATATCAAAACCCAACCTTTTTGGTCTCGCCGCAGTCGGTTAAGAGGGATCTATAGTCATTATTTTTCATACAAACGGTTTCAACGTATCCCTCTGCCAATTCGCAACCGATCGACTCAATTTTTGGCACGGTAACTTTTCTGGACTAGATCTATGCTCCATATTCTTTTTCTGGTTGTAATAATGCATTTAAAAAAAGATATGGCAGTGGCAAAATGCTCTAAAATTATCAGCATGTTTACGCCTTTGTATCTTCTAAATATGCCAACAATTTCAGCAAAATAAATGATACGAGCATAGAATATTTTATTGGCAGCAAAATAATGCCACTATCAAGAAATTTGGTGGAGATTTCGAACGGGGAACCTAGTAAACCCAGAACGCAAATTTTCCGGTAGCGAGCTATAACTGTCTCTTTTGGGGCTGCGGGACGGGTGGGATGCATAAATGAGATAGACATATTTTTATCAACTGACAGCTCACGAACTTCCAGCTCGGTATAGTAGCCTCTTAATAAAATAGTGGTGCCGGCCAACCGGTATCAATTTGTAGCATCAAGGCGTAAAACATCCCGACTATCTTTCCATTTATCAACAAATATTGTTAAGTCCGGTCCGTTGCGGGCCAGTCAATCGCGGCTTAACTAGCGTAACACCGTTAAAAGAATATGTTACTTTTAAGACATTTGGTGAAGAAAAAATTAACGTAAAATTAGCATACTATGTGTAGGTACTAACAGATAAAGAGAACTGACAACCTACAGTACTTCGTCCGCATAAGTTGCTATTTCAGTGGTTGTCATTACACTGATAAAACTTGAACTCCTAAATCATCCTCACTGACCGTCAATCACGCCCATGACACTACACTCGGCACGATTGACAAATGTTGAAGCGTACCTATTTGATTAATTACCTATTGTATGATAGACGTTTAGAATCCGGCGCAGCCTATGCCATACAAAATGATGCTCATAGTATTGCACATCTGAAATTTTTAGATCATGCTATCGGTTCAACGGACCATAAACGACTGTCCAAGATTTCCGAGTCCATGCTAGACTAAGCTTGGAAGTCTTTTGTTACAAAACACCAGACGAACAAAAGTTTCGCGGATAAAATAAAATATTTCAACCGCGCGATGAGATCTCAAAACGTTTCGCGGTTTAAAAGTTGAAGCTTTCTGCCCCTCAACGTCTACGAGATGCGCGATTTCAAAAGAGTAATAAAAAGCAATAACAGTTATCTCTTAAACAGTGATGTTTTGGAGCTTCGTAACCGAAAGTGAAACTATCGGATATACCTACAAATATATCCGTAGGTAATCGTTACCGAAACCGGTATGAAAATTTCGAATAATTTCGGATTGGGTGATTAGATGTTTTTGAAACACGCCACATGTGTACATTGCATTATTTGTCTAGTATTGTTGTATAGTCATACATAAATCATAAGATAACAATCAGTAAGTTTTCATTTACCGATACTTGTGCGACAAACTTTGAGAAAACGTTTATTCTACTATCCACAACCAAAATTATCCGAAACTTGTGGATAATCCACCATCAAAATATTTGTGTGTCCGTATCTCCTTAATATCCGTATCCGAAATTTCATTTCCATAACATCCCTGCTTTTGAAACAGCGACCTTTCGAAGTGTAATATCGTCGTTATTTTAAATCAGTTTTTAAGTGGAAACAAGTGGTAGCAGTTCAGTAACGATAACGGTTATAATACATTCAAGGGGGGTTAATTTCGACGCTTAATTTAAGCGGCTTATATTTCTTGTGACACGCATCGTAATCGACGGTGTGTGCCTTAATTTTTACTGAACCGTATTGCACGAAAAATATTCCATAATCACTCTCGGAATTGCGATACTGGCTTTTCCAAGTTCGGCAGATCATATACAGTCGTAAAGTCCGATCGTCTTTTGACCGAAATTAAGAGTGAATAGAACAGAATCTTTTTACTTTCATACGCTATCACTATAGCTACCCGCTGGTGTCTAATTTACCTACAGCTAGACCATTTTGCGTTTATCTAATTGTGAACCACTTATCTCACTAAAAACTTTTAAAAGCTACATAAAGATATATATTATGATGAGAAATCATCAGTATTGGAGTAAATTCTGATTGCATGCCCTGAAGATAATTTGGAAGTGTAAGACGATTAATCTTAATTCCGGCAATCTTCGCAGAAAGAAAATAAAACGTCTGTAATTCATACAATCATTAGCGACCTCATAAACTTTGAAGCCTGAACATCATCCAACAGTGCCCTTTTTGGTTTATATATGGTATGGTGGTACCTACAAATAATAACGGTCCGCCTAATGGTAACACTTAGTATCCCACAATAACCACATTTTGACACTATTGGAAAAGCTAAATGCAGTGCCAACTGTGAAACCTTAGGTAGATGGTCTCATTCGAATCACACTGTCTGGCAGCAGAAATAAGCATAATGGTGGTACTTTCTCATGTAGTTTGTGCACAATTCTCTACTACCTTTGGGTGTAGAGTCAAAACAAACAGAACACAAAATAGAACCTTATTTATCATAAACTGTATGTACTACTCGTTAAGCTACAGTGACAGAAGTACACATGAAAGAAGACTTCCGAAGATAGATTTAGCAAAGCCATAGGTATTTGGGAGTCGATCAGATTTAAGTCGGCTTATACCATTGCATACTGAATGAGATATGCCTTCTGCCAATTTTGGATTGGTATATTCCTAGTATGACCTCTTTTACATTTTGTGGCACTTGGATTCAAGTAGACTTAGGCAGAATAGATTTGGCCTTTCAGAACTAGTTTTGGGTAGTCAGCCAAGTTGAAGCTGGTATAGAGCAATGCGAGCTGTTATATTTACAACTGCTTCTAAGTCCATGTATTTACCACCCTGCTCTTACGACAGGTGCGAGAAATAGTGAGGTAGTGTTATTCTGACCCGGTACCTTACGGAACTGTACAGAAAAAGGCAGAGGTAATGAAGGAAGTGATGAACGTATCTCATACCATTGTGATCGAACGTCGCAGCAATAACGACTTACATCAAGGGGTTTTTCAACTTATCATAAATTTTGTGCAGCATCCGAGTCACTTACATTGACAATTATGCTAGTCATAATAGGGCAATTCTGTGGAAAGAAAAAGTCATCGACGTAGAGTTGCGTTGGAAAGCGTACACTTTAAGTGAAGCTTTTTTGTCATCGTTTTACACAATAAATGTACTCTTACAATTTTGGACTGGAGGAGGTAACAGGAATAAACCGGAAACTCAAATTCAGTTCAAAATTTCGGTTATATAGTCGATTCAAAGATAACTTCATTACGTAGCATAATTAAAGCTAAGTTCACTTTGATCTTGCCAAATTATTCTTAAGGAGATTATGCATGGGGCTCATCTTCCGCTTGTGTTTTGAAGTCTTTAATATGATGAATATTGCAGATCATAATTAGAATTTATTTCAAAAGCTTTTAGCTGCATGCAAAAGGTAAAGAAATCTTACTTAATCAGGAAATCTCTGTAGGTATTTATCTGCTTTTTCGACGTACTCATATACCACCATTTCTCTGATATCATTTGACAACCGATATACAGGGTGTTAGGGACGGTGTACCGAAAACTTTGCAGGCGTGCTCGGACTATTGAACTGAACAACTTTAACTATGGAGCCAATGGTGGGAAACGAATAAAAAATTCCGACCTCCCATACAAAATATACTATCAGCTGACTGACTTTGTATGGGAGGTCAGATTTTTTTTTATTTCCCACCATAGGCTCCATAGTAAAAGTTGTTCAGTTTCATGGTCTGAGCACGCCTGCAAAGTTTTCGTTACACCGTCCCTAACACCCCGTATGTATGTAGCTATTTTACACATTTTTCTCACCATCATTTCTCTGACTTCATCACATTGTCAACCGGTATGGCGCAGTGGTAGTGCGACAGCCTGCGACGCAGAATGTTCCGGGTTCGATTCCCGATTTACAAAGCTCAAATTGACCACTCGGTGAATTTGTTCCCAGTCTGAGGAAATTGCAGGATTAATCACCTGATTGTCCGAAAGCAACATGGTTATGTGCTTCGTAGGGCACGTTAAGTCGTCGGTCCCGGTTGCTGCGTCTCTGATTATTTAGACGGCGGTAGTTACCATGTCAGAGGTCTGCTACTTGTAGTAGTTGGTTGAAAAACTCTGATACCAGGGTTCATCGGGACAACTGTACTAGTGTCCCACTCGAATCCACACCAGTCTATGACAGCCGCAGGGTCTCATCTAGAGTAAGCCATAGGGCAAGCTTTCTTGTTTGCGCTATCCAATCGCTACCAGCCGCTCTCAGGCCAAAGATTTCTGTTTCTTAGGTTAAAGAGAAAAATATTTTTCACATAATTAGACAGTTCAAAGTAATCGAGAGTTCAAAATTCCACATTTGTAGCTATCTACTTACCGTAGCTCAACTGTACCGTCAATAGAACATTTTCTATTCGGGAACCAATTATCATTTACATATCACAGAACTAGTACCGACAGAATAGACGTAGGGTTCCCACACATAAGTTATGGAGTTGAAGGCGTAGAGAGGAATAAGCGTATATTTGAAGAGAATCTAATTGTAAAGGCTCTCTCTATGCTACTATCGTAGTTTAAAAAGGAACTGAACTCTTGTAGACTACAGTGAGCTTTTCCTTGCCTACCTACATTATCATCCCGAGCTGACAGCCGTTGTGGCACAGGTGATATTGCGCCTGCCTGCGACGCCCAAGCGACGTGGGTCGCTCACAAAGTTGATATTTATCACTTTGTAAAATTCCAAGTCTGGTTAGGATATTGTAGAACTCTTACTTACTCCAGGGTTCAACGGGTCGTCGGACGACTCGGTGCAGAACTCAAAAAATATTTATCCTGGTATGAGTCATTGTTATTTACAAAGGTCCCTATTACTTCCACCTCACCTAGGTTTTACTTACAACTCACCTAGGTTTTAGAAGCTTAGGTTTAGAAGCAGCAACCCTGAATGAATGAAAAGACGGCACGAGACTCGGGTCAATACATTTAGTATGACCAAAATATGTTGAACCTTCACTGGTCATCGCTAATACGAAAGAACTATCGATTGTGTAAGATAACTATAGTTCTAACATTTTCGTTTATGTATGCTCGGACCATAAATTTTTAGTGAATCTCTGACATAAAGTCCACCCAACATGCGGAAGGATCACTCGACCCTATTAAGGTTTTCCTTTTTGTGAAGGTATAAAAACTGACAACTTTTCAGTAACATTTTCGAATGGGATGGTCCAGTTCTAGAAATCACTAATTCCATTATTATGACAGCTGAATTCTGAACTTGAATCTTATTTTAATGTTTTACTTCTTTTAGTGGGATATAAAACTGGACCATCAAATTATGAAAACAATTCTTTTCATAATACCTTGAAGGAAATATTGTTACTGACCTGCGCGACCTTCGAGTCAGCAACTGGCAGGAGATCGCGCAGGACAGAGTTCGAATTTCGATGGAGAGAGCTCGTTTCGGAGGCCGTCTTGGCCACTTTGGGTCGCTGAGTTAGTTAGTATGTGACATCCTAAAACTTTCGCAAAAGTACAACCTGTAGTCTTAAGTAATATTTTCGTGTCGCTCAACGGTCTTACAAAAGTACTAAGCAAGGAAACTATAATCTCATTCTCATTTCCTTGTACATTTTCTTGTTTAACTATTACATCTGGCATAAACAACTCCAAGGTACAGATCTACGTATAATCTACAGTACGTAAAAGTCTACAGTTGTATAGAGTTATTGGTCACAGTAAACTGGCCGATTGCCCGTTAGTTTGGTGTACGCGCCGCATACGTGGTTATAAGTACCAAAACAAGACGGCTAACCAAATCGGCTTTGTTAAGATTTTATCTCTCTGTTAAATACTTCTAACCATTATAGACTATCGGCGTCTCTTTCGCACCCGCACCGATTGGGCTGGGTTGTTACTAGTTGGGAATATTCTAATTGGGAACATACTAATTGGGAACTTGTGACTTACGTGCTGTAGTAAATTTAACGCCTACGAGTTTTGCAGTTCCTGTTATTGAAGAATATGCGGAACATTTGTATTAAAGAAGATTGTACTTACTACCTACATAATTACGTATGTCAATACAACAGTTACAACTTTCATAGTGATATAAATTCTTGTTTAAAATTGCTTGAAAATGCGTAAGTGTAGTTCAGTAGGTAACAATTTTCTTGCGGCCATAACAGCACAAGATAATCATCTTCCAACTGTTAAACTAATTCAATGTAGGTGTTAAAATAGCTTTGTTGTCTATATCTATTTGTTTTCATGGGTCGAAATATGAAAAAACAGTTTGGATATCCCATACCATAGTTAATTAATCAGCTAATCGGCGATTTCATAATATGGGAGGTCCAATTTCTTTTATATTTCGAAACATGTTCCATTGGAAAAGTTCAGTCTCATAAGCACTTTAACCTCCTTTCGGCTTGTTATACCCTATTAGTTACTCCCTGATCTGGATCAATATTTATTACAAATTCAACCCATTCCGATCAAAGTCTAACGAACATAGAATTCACCAACTGGGAGCACACCATAAGTTATTTGGTGTATCACAACTGCAGTTCGATGATCTGACCTGTTCATACCCCACTTATACTGAAGTACCTACACTCGAACACATCGATATATCGATATCGATAAGTAATTAAAACACCACGCACCACTTACGATCAAACAAAGCGATACTATTGGTCTATGAATGCTTAGATTTATTAGTAAAATTCTTTAAAATGTGTGTTTGTTTGTTACAGGTAATCTTTTAAATCAGGAACTAGTAGGTAGTTTAAACGCTTAGTTTTTTGGGACGTTTGTTGACTAAGTGTCCTAGAAGACAAGAACAAAGGTATCTTAGGGAGAGACGATTAAATAACCATCGCCAGCAGCCCGAGCTACATTTCGAAGGAGCAGGATATTTAGTTCCAGAAGTACCAAAAGGTTATTCATTCCATGCATGCCTAATTGCCAATGTATGTAACAAAATGAAATTTTATGAAATGAAACATTTCCTTTTTCATAAAAATACTAAAACGCGAGCAAAGTCGCGGGGCACGGCAAAGCTTGTTGATGAATAGGATATAATATCTCTTTTAATACCTTCAAGATTTATTTACGATGTAAGTAGGCAGTTATAAGAAACCAACACTTCCTTTTTAATTTAAAGAAATGTTATAATAAACATTTTATTGCTCGTTTAATGCAAAGATATTTATTTTAATTTTATCGTCACAGTTATGTTCATGCTATATAATTATTAGGTGCATGGTTAAGTTAAGGATGAGACACATTAAAAACTGTGGCGCCGTTGGAAATGGCATGTTTTAAAAATAACGTAAATTATAGTTCGTATCTGCTTATACGTAGTTGACATCCCTGAGAAACTTCGCAAAAGTAAATAGGTACCTACTTATACAAAAAAATATGTAATAAGATGTTTTTATACATTATGAGCACTTAGTAATCGACTTTTGCTGGCACATAGTAATCAACTTTATACTACGGGCAAAGATCTGATACATACGGGAAAACGGGTAAGGAGCAGCGGGTGAAACCGAGCTTGATGTTTCACAATTAACCACAAAAATGGAAGGATAAAAGGTAAGTTAGGAAGAGGAATTACTATCTAAAAAGAGAAATTTAAGCTTCGATGTAATCAGTAATAAACTAGAATACACTATTCGCTGGCATGTAAACTCCTATACAGTGCAGAGAGGTACCTTACTATAGGATCTGTGGAAGTGCCCAGGTGCGGTTGCGGTTACGCTGAACCAGATGCGAGCACTAATGCGTCTGTTGGTACATGCGTACCTACAAATTGCCTATTTGCTGTAGTCCCAGACTATAGTGGGAGCAATTTTACTAGTGACTTGAAACAAAAATGCAGGATATAAGGAACAACTTTCCCAAAAAACGTCGGTCGAAGAATGAAAAAATCATTTGGGCCTCCCATACTAATTTAAATCGGCTGTTCGTCAATTTCGTTTGGTGACATAGCAGACAAGTGCGGACCAAACTATATTTTATAAAAAATCTTACATAGTTTTATCTAGACACACGGCAGTGTGTCCGCCAAGTTCGAGCAAAAAAAGCGACACACCGGCCGTGGGTTATATTACACGAACCATTTCGGGCCAAGTTCGACCCACCTATAACTCAAAATCTATTTTATCTAAAATACAAAATTTCATTAATGTACCTATTGTAGGTCTTGAGATATTGACGTCAGAAAATCGCTATTTTTACTATACACTCACTGACTGACTCACTCACTCACTCATCAGAAACCTAGACCACTTCCAATGGTCGTATTGACTTGAAATTTGGCATGGAGGTAGGTATTTAGGTCAAGGTAAAGGAAAAAATCTGAAAACGGCCAAGTGTGAGTCGGTTATAAAAATAATGAAGGTGTAAATTCATACCCCTAAGGAACTAAAACAAAAAAATTATCTATATCTTCCAATCGTCGTACCGGCCTAAAATTCGTTACGAATGTTTGTATTTAGTCAAATTAAAGTATAAATGAGATATTTCCTTACCTAACTTAATCATAAGAAAAAAGAAAATAAACCTTACAAAAATAAATGAAATCCCACCCAAAACATAAATGTGAAAGGCTGCCAAGTTCGATAATATTGGAATGCTTCGCCTATAAAAGATGTGAGATCTAAATAAGTACCAAGTTCCATACACAGACCTCAGTTAAAAATAGTTACAGGAATGCACACTTGATTTTCCGCAGTTTGGAAAGTAGATTCTTATTTCCAAACTGCGAAAAATCAAGTGTGCATTCCTTATCGCTTAAGATAAGGAACGTACCCAGGTATCTAGGTTCTTTGTACGGAGAAAACATAGGCTAGGGAAGTATTGAGTTAGTAGAAATCATATACCATGTATAGTATATGTCGCAGGTTTTTCACC